CCCCCTGCTGCACGCAGGGCAGCCCGGAGTTGCCCATCCAGCATCCATGGCACTGTGGGGACCTCCAGGTTTGGGCCCTGGGGAGCCTGGACTCTGCGTGGAGGATGGGGCTGCGGGGGGTCGGGGGCCTGGCAGGTGATCCAGGGATACAGAGGGGCAGATGTGGAAGGGAGCCCCCACACCCCACTCTGTGCCCGAGGCATCTACAAGGGGACGAAGGCACAGCTGGGCCAGCAAAGTGGGAAAATCATGGCGAAGACTCAGGGGGTGCGCTGGGGAGGAGCAGCTGAGAGGAGAGAGTAGCTGAGGGCCGGTCAGGGGAGCAGCTGGGCTGCCGAGGGGAGGGGTCGCTGCAGGCACAGGTGGCCACTCTGAGATCTTGGGGGCACAGGCTCATGGTGAGAGGGGCTCACGCCCTGCCAGGGTGCAGCTTCCGGGCTCCTTGCTCCTGGGGCCTCACCAGAACAGTTCCCAATGCGGCAAGGCCGGAAGTGGCCGTCCAGGCGGGTGCAGAGGGCGCCCTCCCCCGCCCCTCCGGGCACTGGCCTCTGGTGTCGGTAGCGCTGCTGGACCAGCACCTGGCACGAGCATCGCGTCCAGCTGCTCCAGCTGCTCCACACGCACTCCTCTAGGGACCAAGGCGGGCGTGTCGCTCGGGGGGCCTCTCCGGGCTCCCTTGGCCTCTCTCCCACCCGCCCCCTCCCTCATGCCGGCTTTAGCCGATCCCCTGTGCGGGAAAGGGCAAAAGAAAGCCAGGGATTCAGAAGGGTCCCCACTGCCCAGGTTCCCTGTCACCCAGCCGCGAGGGTGGCATCTCAAAGCATTCTAAAGGAAGAGGGGCCCGGGGAGGAGCAGATAGGGATTTATTCGGGGGGATAAGCTGGGGGTTGGTTTGGAGAACGTCCATTATTCCCTGAGTCTGCCCGGGAGAGGGCCTCCCTTCCCGTGCACACATACCCAGGCAGGGCCCCGGGTAGCAGGCCTGGGTGTCCAGGTGGAAGAAGCTGCCATTACAGGTCCGGTTGGCCTCGGCCAGCGGGCAGGGGCAGGACCCAGAGCGGGAGGCCAAGCCTGGGCCGCAGCTTTGAGAACAGGGCCCCCAGAGGCCCCAGGAGCAGGCGGCCCGCAGCCCTGGGCAAGGCTGCCACCCGCAGCGCTGGCTCTGGGTGTCGGGGCCAAGGCAGGAGGGCACTGTGTGGTGAGGGGCTGAGGCTGTGCAGACTCGGGTGCGGGCCTGGGTCCCGCCTCCACAGGAGACAGGGCAGTCAGACCAGGGGGCCCACAGCGTCCAGGCCCCGGGCACTGTGGGAGGGCACAGGCGAGGTTATTGGGGTGGGAGGCGTGAAGGCCCCGAGGGCTGGTCGGGACCTGTGTGTGTGTGTGTGTGTGTGTGTGTGTGGCGGGGTAGCAGTTGGAAACAAAGGCAGAAGGCAAGTAAAGGACAGAGCAAGCAGATGGCCACAAGGCCCGGGCCAGTAGGGAGGGAGAGGTGGGGCGGGG